AAGGAACACATTCTAGAAGATTTTCCGTGCATCCTTCCTTTGGTTCAATGCAGCCTGTGGTTATTTTACTTGAGACAAGTTGGCAGAGAAATAAGGAAAGGAGAGATATTAATATCTCTATCTATCTATCTATCTATCTATCTATCTATCTATCTATCTATCTATCTATGTATATCTATGGAGACCTGGCTTTACGGACCCTTGTTTGTGATGAATTTTAAATATCCCCTTGTTCATGGACTAGACATTCCAGCCATGACGAGAGTCAGACAAATACATAATAATTACAAATATTGAGAATACATTACAGTTGTATAGACGAGGATGCTGTTGCGTCTTGTGTTTCTTTTACCTCCTTAGAAACTCAGATCTCCTCAGGAGAAGGGGCCGAGATGAGGCTGCAGCTCAGGAACACGGAGGAGGCGGACTGGAAGGCAAGAAAGACTCATCTGGAAAAAGCTCGTGTTCCTAGCAGCTGTTGGGGGCGAGCAGAGCAGGTGAAGGGTGGCTTCCTCATGATTTTGGGTATTTCCTCTTTCCTCAAGACCAATGTTCTTTCCTCTTTCTCTTTTTCTCCTCTAAATTTGCTTAAGATGGAATCCTAGAGAGAAATCCGCAGCCTCAGACCTGCTGTTTTGGGGGCGTCCAGTGTCGAAAGGTGAAAGCGCTGACCTGTCCCCACTCTACCACGGGGCAGGCTTTCCCATGTGATGGGCACACACAGCTGCCCGATGCCTGGCTTTTTCTGATGATGGGATGGATATGCTGGAACTTAAGTTCCCCTGGGTTCTTGACAGTCCTGTTGACTTCATAACTGGACCATACTGGATCTCCACCTCCAGCCCTCGGTGTTACTCAGGGTACCTCACATCATTTTGCTCCGGTTGCTTCAGGGCAGATGGAAATGATCCACCAAGTTCTGGTAGCCTCTGCTTCCATTCCCTGGCTTCCCTCTTCACTACTGAGACCCATTTTTCAGAGTCGGCTTCATCTTGGCAACCCTTCTCCAGCTTTCCCAGTGCATATAAACGCAGGTACCCAGGTCGGCTATGTGTGGAAGGAATGAAACTCAAAGTGTTCCTTGTTAGCAGGTGGAGGCCTGGTAGGAAAATTTACAGTACTCTAACTTGAGTCACACATGGAGGAAAAGCTACTTTCCCACAGTACACACACATAAATGGCTGAAACCACAAAACAACAAACCAGCAAAACCCAAAACAAAACGGAAAACTTTTACGCATAGTTTACACTGAGTTTTTGATGGTTGTTTCTATGGGAATTCTGTTTATTCAGCTAGGAAGGGGTATTCTGAATGTGTCCTTCATTTACTCTGGAAAATGCTACTTTAGGGTCAGACAAAATACAGGAGGAAGGGACAGCCAGGTCCTACATGACACAAGGCAGAGGGGCCTTTGGTTACAAGGAGAGTCGCACCAAGTTCTTAGAAAAGAAAGAAGCCATTTCTACTCTGTACACCGGCCATCGACTTAACCAATAAATGAAATGCCTTGATTTGAAGAAGGGGCAGTAACTTCCTTCTGGCTATATATGGCTATGTTAAGACATGTTTACTTCCTGATATGTAAAATAGACTATATCATCAGTAGGAGTTTTTACAGATAGCTCTAAAAATATCTGAATCGGAAATCACAACTATTTTCTTTTTATCAAAAAGCATTTGTTTTCCCTGAATTTTCACATTTGTGCTGCTGGGTGACGTCTATGGTAAAGAAAAAACAAAGAAGAAACATGAACAATGGTCAACAGAGTAGTCCCATGGTCACATCAACAGGCCCCCAGCACCAGGCTGAGCTCAGCAGGGGACTCGAGTCCCCCTGCTTCCTGCCTCCAGGGCACTGCTGTCTAGGGCGACCTTCACTGTCTCAGCCCCTTTGCATCTGTTTGGAGAAAATTCTGAGGCCCTGAGACAAGTCAAAGTCTCAGTTTTCCTCATTTACAGCAAATACCAAGGTGCACCCCCTGGGGGGAGGGGACCCTGGGCTGCACCCCTTGGAGGGAGGGGACCCTGGGCTGCACCCCCTGGAGGGAGGGGACCCTGGTCCCTGGAGATGCTGAGAAGTGTCATGAACTGTAGAAAACGCTTTGTTTAAGGTTGGTGTGATAACCCTTCAGCATTCCACCTGTCCCAGGTGGCCTGATCTCAGCCATAGAGACAGGAGGCAGAACATGGTGTAAGCCTGCTGATGGGTGGATCGCGCCAATGAACTATTGGGCAGACCAGCCATAAATTATACGAGGACAGGTGATCAATATCATGTCGTTGCTCCATCAGGAAGACACATGCCTGTCACTGTTCTGAGGACAGGGAGGAGGACACTAACTACAGCATTTGGGACATTATCCACTAACACTATAGTAAGAAAACCACATTGCCCCACTGTACTGCAGACAGGCTGACCAATAACACCATCTTTACTGATAGGCAAGCCATTACTGTAGCATCGTGCAGACTGGTGTCACTGAGGAAGGGCCAACAACACTGTGCCACCGAGTTACAAGCAGGACAACGCCAGGTCAACACGCTAGGATAGGAAGACTGACACCAGGAAGTATATCAGAACCTCTAGGGATACACATGAGTACTTATTGCTTTTGGCTGTGCCGTCTGCCTAGATGGCTGCAGGAAGGGAGCATCGGGCTTTCAGGACAGACAGTGACACAGAACACACAATGGCTGGTTGACAAGAAAGAACAGTACAATACCCGACCCCCAGTTGCTGCGCCCTTCAGAGACGTGCATGACTCTTGCACACGGGACTTTAAGAGAGCCCTTCCCCGAGGGCTGAGGACCCCTCCTGACCCATTAGGGATGAGGGGTGATCCTGAGGGGCCATGGAGGAGCCCCAGACTCTAATGTGACAGTAAGACCCACTGTGGCCAGAAATGGGCACAACTAACACCCCAAGTGCAGGGCCACTATGTGGCCCACGGGAAATAGTGCTTGTTTTAAAGTGCGAGATCTTGACACTGTCCCTGGTAGAACCTAGATTAGAAAAACATAAAGTGCTTTTTATTAACTTATTTTTTTTTTAGCTTGAATACCACAGGAAACAAACAAGAAAAAAAAAAAAGAAAAGAAAAAGGAAAAGAAAAAGGAGCTTCTCCCACAGTAGGTATGCTCCTGTGTTCCCCGCCGCAACAAAAAGTAGTCAGAACCCTGCACAGGGCAGTTCAGTGAGGGCTTTTTTTTCTTTTTTCATGTAGAAAATGAAATTTATTATTTTTAATGCTGTTCCTCAGTCACACAGTCTCTTTGAATAATCTATCTTGTTTGCATATTTGATGCTCACATATATTTTGAGTTCAGGCTAGTGCTGTTTGGAACTCTCATTCTTGTGACAGCCCGAAAAGCAGTGGTCTGGTTTATCCCCTTGGCTATGTGCCAACCATCTGAACCCTTCCTTGATTGCCAGGTGGGCAGAAAGAATCGAGTTCAAATTGTCAGCTCACCCTGACAGCATCTCAGAATAAAGCCCTGGGTAGCACAGAATACTGAATCAGTCAAGCCGCTTGCTTGGTTAAAGATTATGCACTGGGACCATGGCTGATGGCGTGGAGAATGCCTCATGATCAAAGTGTCCCCTGTATCCTTCTAGCAGTAAGATCCTGCCATGGAGGTGTTCTTGGAGGATGCTAGGCAACACCCAGTACTACTTGATCAATCCACACTTTCACTAGCAGCTCCTTGCGCCAACGCCCTCTGCTAGCTGAAGCCACAGGAGATGGAGATGGCATACTCAGAGGCTGGGGGAGCCTCAAGAGGAGACTAGAAGTGGCCAAGGCTAGGTCTTAGTGGCTGTGAACTCTGCTCATGTCATCTCAGGAAGGTGCTGTTAAGAGGCATGGTCCCTGTGGCTTGTCTGATTATGCATCCATAGACCTGTCATGGCTCTCAGGGTCTCTCCTGTTGCTGGGGCTCTGCGGCGGCCTTGCGTCTCCAAGGTCATGTAGAACTCAGCGGCAGCAAGCCAAGCATCCATACTCCTTGATTTCTCCTGCCAACTCCTCTCTGCAGTGGACATCTCAGATGCTCTGATCCCCAGTGCTCCCATGCGCTCCTCCTCCGGGCAGCATGCGCATATCAGGGGAGGTATGGTTCTCCAGCTTACACTTTTCTTGAGCTCCGGGGCCTTTCCCAGTCAACCCTTCTGAGGAGTAGACACAGTTGGGCCTTAAGAACTTAGGGGAGGTGGGCAGGGGAGAGCTTTCAAAATGGTTCTTCTCCGTTCTAGTTCCAATGCTGAACTTGGGGCTGGTGCTGCCATGGAGACTCTTGGGAGGACTGGAGTCCACGCTGTAGAGCGGCTGACCCTCATCATCTGTGTCCGTGTCTATGTACTGGTGGACGCCCGCCTCAAAGTTGAATGCTATTGCTGTGTGTTTCTCAGGGGAGCGAGGGGGTGTCCTGGCACTTGCTGTGGTGTAGATGGAGGACTCTGGGCTCAGCACAGGCTTGTCTAAGAGTGAGGCACACTCCAATCCTGCGACCGCAGCTGCTGCGCCTCCTCTGTTCCTAAGAGGATCGTGGTACATCCCCAGAGAGGGAAGCAGCGGGCTGGGATCCCCCTCCATGAAGTTGACCTTGAGTGCCCGGAGCTTCATGGCGTTGCTGGTCTTCATGGAACTCCTGGGGCTCTCAACGAAGAAACCAGAGCGGCTGGCCTCAGGAGTGGGGTTGGCCTCAATGAGTCTCCCACCACTGGCCCCCAGAGCCCCCCGCCAGCCTACCTCTGGAGCTGTGCTGCCCCCAGCCTTGCTGGACAGGGACGCCAGAGGGCTGTGGGAAAATCTGGTGGCTTCAGGGAAGTCAGTGGCACAGCTGATGAAACTGTCAATGCTGGACATGCTCCGCATGTCAATGATGCCCTCGGTGCGTGTGGGCAGCGGGGCCACAGGGCTGGGCATGCTTTCCATCTCTAGTTCTTCCTTCGGCTTGCTCTGTGGTGCCATCTCCTTGGTATTGAGGATGGGCTGGGACTGCGTCTTGGCCATCTTATTGTACATGTCTTCCAATTGCTGGACGTTCAGGTGCTGAGGACTAGAAGACGATCTGGCCTTCTCAGGGGACCCCTGCTCCTTGGTTTCAAAGGACTTGCTCGAGCTGGTCTCAGAGAGTGCCCGCTTGGTCCATTTCCACTTGTTGGGAGACAGGTGGTTATCTTGTACTTTATCCTTCTTGGCCATATTCTCTCCGTTTTTCTCAACTACAATGTCCATCATCTCAATGCTCCGGGCGAAGGCATCCTTCATGTTCATGGACACGATGCTGCCATTCCTCTTGGCTCTCTCCAGAGCCTCTCTCCGCTTGATGGCTTTCTCCTGCCGCTTCTGCTCCTTATAGAACTCCGAGAAGTTATTGACAATAATGGGAATGGGAAGAGCGATCACCAGGACCCCAGCGATGCAGCAGAGACCCCCCACAATTTTCCCCAGGAGAGTCTTAGGGTAAATGTCTCCATACCCAACGGTTGTCATGGTGATGGTGGCCCACCAGAAAGAGGCAGGGATGCTTTTGAACTTGGTGTCATCCTCATCCTTCTCGGCAAAGAAGACCAAGCTGGAGAAGATCATGATGCCCATGGCTAGAAAGAGGATGAGCAAACCCAGCTCATTGTAGCTCCGGCGGAGTGTGAAGCCCAGGGACTGCAGGCCGGTGGAGTGGCGGGCCAGCTTCAGGATGCGGAGGATGCGCATGATTCGAAAGATCTGGACCACGCGGCGTACATTCTGGAACTGCAGCACACTCTTGTTGGATTCTGTGAGGAAGATGGTGACATAGTAGGGCAGGATGGCCAGTAAGTCAATGGCGTTGAGAGGGCCCTTAAAAAACTTCCATTTTTTGGGCGAGGACAGGAACCTCAGCAAGTACTCCATGGTGAACCACGCAATGCATACCGCTTCCACGTGTGCCAGCTGTGGGTTATCCGTGCTCTGGCCGAACTCATCCAGGCTCTGCAGCTCAGGCAGTGTGTTGAGTGACAGGGCAATGGTGGAGAGGACAATGAACATGATGGAGATGATGGCCAGGATCTGCAGGGAGAAGAAAGGGCCCAGTCAGCACCCAGCAAAGCACGACCTTCACACGGTCATCACAGCATTCGAGTGCGTTTCCGCATCTCACCAGTTACTTCACAGCTGACCGAGTTTAAAAAGATAATTTTTGCAAACCTATTTATGACATAGATGGGAAAACCAAGGCTAGAGTATGCAAACAATTTCAAGCTTGCTGACAAGCAAACTTTCTCTACAAAAACCCAGAGAGTAAGACTGTTGGCTGGTGCATTGTGTTGTAGCCAAGCAGTGTTGAGGTAGTAGCAGCCTGGACAAAACGAGAATGAATGGGTATGGCTGCCTCTCAATAAAGCATTATTTACAAAAATGTCAGAGGGCCAAATGGGTATGGCTGCCTCTCAATAAAGCATTATTTACAAAAACTGTGAGTGTTACTGTGGGCATAGTTCTGAGGTACAGTGCTGATGCCTAGGGCTGAGGGCTGAGCCAAATACATTTTACGTCTTACCTCATTGTCATTTGTTTTTGCAGACAGGATCTCACCTTGTTACCCAGGCTGAGGCCTCTCCCTTCCAACATTCCTGCCTTTACTTCCCAAATCCTGGGATACCAGGTGATTCCAGCAAGCACGGTCCATATCCCACTGTTATGTCAACCCTATTAAGTGTTATCCACTCGACTGAAGCCAGAAGCGGAGACATACTCGAGTAAGCCCAGCACTTGTAAGACTGAGGCGGGAGGGTCAGGAATTCAAGGCCAGCCTGCACTTTATGAGACAACACCTCCCAGCCCCACATATCAAAGAAGTGTCATTAGCTCCACTGAACAGTGAAACTCGGCAATTGAGGGGCTGGAGAGATGGCTCAGTGATTAAGAGCACTGGCTGCTCTTCTAGAGGAGCCAGGGTCAATTCCCAGTGCTCACACTGTATGTAGCTCCTTTTTCAGGGGAACCAGAGCCCTCTTCTGGGCTCTGTGAGTACTGTACACATGCACCGCACAGACATACATGCAGACAAAACACCCAAAGACATAAAATAAATAAATAGTATATGGAAGAAGCAGGATTTGAACCCAGATTCCTCTGCTCCCTCAGCATGGTGTGGGGGGAGGCATTCAGTGTACTTGCTCTTTTTCCAGAGGATCCATGTTTGAGTCCCAGCGTCCTAACCATCTATAACTCAAATTCCAGGGGATCTGATGCCGATAGCCTCTGATAGCAATGCACTCACATACATACACCCACCTACCCAATACTCTCCCCCACGTACACAAAACTAAAAACAACAAGTATAAATGTGAGATGAATGCTAAGGATCATTTGATAACAACAGAAAGCCCAGTGGGAGATCTTGCAGGTCACCTTCCCATGGGCAGAGACGTCCTGGATATATCTTAAGAACTGGAGGGGAATATGAACTTTTGGGCCCAAGGCCTCTGCTTTACCATCTAGTCCCCCAGGGTCAAGAAGAGAGCTTGAGGGCTGTGAGAGGGCTCAGTGGGTAAAGGTCCCGAAAGTATGGTGACCTGAGTTTGATCCCTGGCATCCACATAAAGGAAGAAGGAGAGAACTGACTCCACAAAGCTGTCCTCTTGGTGGGGATGTCCTTCTGTGTGTTTCTCTTATTGTTTGATGAATAAAACATTGTGTCCAATGAGGCAGGAAGATAGGAGGACTAGGATGAGGAGAATTCTGGGAAAGGTAGGCAGAGAGGGCCTGCCAGAGAACAGATGACATGGAGCCACCAAAGGAATAAGAGGTCCAGACCCTTCTCTGGTAAGATAAGACCACGTGGAAATACATAGATTAATAGAAATGGGTTAATAATTAAGACAGAGCTAGCCAGTAAGAAGCCCCAGTCATCAGCCAATAATTTTATAACTAATATAGTGTCTGTTCATTTATTTGGTACTGAAGTGGTGATGGGACCTAGGCAGGACAAGAGAACCTTTTCAACATCCCCTGGTCTCTACACACACACTGACATGTGAGCTCTCTCTCTCTCTCTCTCTCTCTCTCTCTCTTTCTCTCTCTCTCACACACACACACACTGACAATGACTGTAGAAGAGAACTGACCAAAAGAAGGGGCTTGATGGATATTTGGATATTTGTTGAGGTTAATGAATCCATCTACAAGCAGATATAATAATGAATGGCTTTGGGAGTTTTTCTGTAAAAATATAAATGAAGAGATATTAATTTCTGCTTAATAATTTCCCAGACTTCTCAGGGCAAGACTGAAACCCTCAGCCTGTCTGTCATGATGCCTGCCTCTTCTCATTGGCCACCCATCCTTCTGCCTGGGGCTGGGGTGGCTCACGGGTTTATGTCCTTGCCTGTTGTTGACTGGATTTGAAATGGACAGAAATTTCAGGCTCAGTCAACTCATCCTGGAGAATCTGTGCTCAGGGATCCAGGAAGCGAATGGCTTGTGGGAGGGTGAGAACTAAATGGTCACAGGGCAATTCCAAGCATCACAGGTGCCTCCCCAGTTGTAGATGAGAGACCATAAAACGTCAGAGAGGAGGTCAGGATGGGGGACTCCGTTGTCAGAGTGTTGGCCTAGCATGAGGGAGGCCTTGGGTTCCAGCCCCAGGACTGCATGAATCAGATGTGGTGGTAAACACTTGGAATCCTAGCACCCTGGAGTGTGGGACAGGAGTGGCAGGAGTTCAAGGTTATCCTTGGCCACTTAGTGAATTTGAGGCCAACCTGGATTATAGGAGACCCTGCTCTCTCTCTCTCTCTCTCTCTCTCTCTCTCTCTCTCTCTCTCTCTCTCTCTCTCTCTCTCTCTCCTCCTCATAAAACCAACCAACCAACCCCTCACTCCCATGAAGCAAAACAGCAAATGGAAACCAGGCCTGTGTTGTGGTCCCCTCCCTTCTCTGACATCATCCCTGCTTTCCCTAGATACAAGGGCCACACCATCTTCAGATCCTGCCTTGTACTGCTGTACCTTGGGGATACTGACATCTCATTCCAGTCATGCGTGAGTGCGTGTATGTGTGAGTGTGTATGTGCATGCATGTGTATATGTGTGCACGTGTGTGTATCTGTGTGTGCGTGCATACATGTGTATGTGTGTACATGTGTGTGCACACGCATGTGCAGATGTGCCCACTGCTGCTCATAATCTGTAAGTGCCAGGTTAGAGGGCTGACCCTCAGCCTTCTCTGTGTGCCCTGCTCCAGCTCAGGGAGTGCCATCAAATGGGACAAGCTGAGTGCATGCGACTGCCAGAGGCTCAGCACACGCTGCGCCCTTGCTGCACTGTGAGCCTGAATAACGGGCCTGACTGGGGTGTCACCCTCTTCCTATGACTTGGCTTTTCTGCAGCTGTCAGCACAAAACATCAGGACTCCCAAACAAAGCCTGTTTCTCTCAGCCTGACACCGAACTGTGGTGTTCCCGATACCTACACTTCTCTGTGAAAAATTCTACAAAGTGACATGCAGACCTGCCCGTTTTGCCTGCCTAGTGACAGATGCATTAAACAGCCAAGATAAATATGTCATCACTCTACAAGAGCAGCTGTCTCTAGCACTGCCACCCTTAGCCTTGAGCGCTGGTCCTTTCTTTGCCTCATTGTCCGTGTTTGCACAATGAGGCTACTTCCTAGGGGGTCTTGCCCTAGGGGACACTTGGCAATTTTTCTGAAGTATTTGGTTGCTACAGTCCATGAGAGGGGTGGACAGGCAGAAGCCAAGGCCAGCATCCCACAAAGCACAAGGTAGCCCCTAGAAAGAGCATTATCCAGGCCCCAAAGTCAATAGTTCTGAGGTTGTGAAACTCTGGGGCAGGTCAGTGGTAGACCTAGAGCAGGGACCTGTGTCTTTGTTAGCGCAGGCTGGGCACAATGTGTGCGCTTGAGTTGGGCAGTACAGGCACAGGCCTTAGGCTGAATCCTGCTGCTTCCTGGTCCCATCTCTGGAATGGGTGTTGGGGGTCTGTCCTTTTAAGAGCTGGGGTATTCTGTGGTCTCTGCCTCAGTTTTGCAGTGATGGCCACCCTGCCAAGGTAGGAAACTGAGGCACAGAGGATTAACACTCTGAAGATCTATATCCTTTATAAGCTGGATGGGGACTTGGGTTCACATCTCAGTGATTTTATTCTTTAGCCGTGTGGCCTTGGACAAGCTACTTTCCCACTCTGAGCCTCCAACTCTTTTATCTGTTGTGGGTGGAAGTAACTGAGCACTTGCCCAGGACAGACACTAAATCTATCTTGTTATTAGGTCATTACCAGAGCATCTATTACCAAACCCTAAAAGCTTTATCTGAATGCCAGATCCAGAAGGCCGTGTGTACAGGTCCTGGCATGGAGAGCCTGTCACCACACAAGGTCCTCCTGGCCCTGGGTCAGGCCTGGACAAGCCCCTGCTTTCCTGGGAGTGGGGCCTCACCTCCTGGGGGTCAGAGCTGGACTCCAGGCTCCAAACTTGGAGGAAGGGGCCAGCCTGGGTGGGGGCCACCTGTGCCCACATTCTCTTTCCATGAGAAGGTCTGGGCCTTGGGGTGCCCTGGGTGTGTCGAGCAGGAGAGGGACATGAGGGAGACTCAGGGCTGCTTGAATTAAGCTTTCTTCAACTGCTTCAGACTGGTAAGTGTTCCCATTGTTGCTGCCACCTTCCTGAGCTTTCCTTGCCCTTCCAATATGGTAGATGAGATGGCATCAAGTGTCCAAATAGCATAGGGTCCAACCCTTCTCTATGAGGAGACTTAGCAGAGAGAAGAGAGGCTGCATTCACAGTCACTTGGCCATCATGGTCAGCAAAGCCATAAGGGTCCCTCAAAAAATTACTTAAGGCATTTGGGGCTCATCAGTTACTTCTCCTGAGTGTGTGTGTGTGTGTGTGTGTGTGTCCAATAACTGTTGTTCCTAAGGGCAATGTCCACAGACCCATGATGAGACAAACCAAAGATGGACTATCCAGCTGTCAGAACAGCCCTGAGCAAGCCTTACACCACACCCTCAAAAGACTCAGGAAACACTAAAAGGCATGAGATGGCGGAGA